ATTGAGTAAAAAAAATTGAATGTAAATTTTTTTTTATTGTATATATGGTAGAATGAGTTTTGTAGAAGAATTGAGTAAAAAAAATTGAATGTAAATTTTTTTTTATTGTATATATGGTAGAATGAGTTTTGTAGAAGAATTGAGTAAAAAAAATTGAATGTAAATTTTTTTTTATTAAAAGAAAGTGAAAAAGTGTTGATCGGTCAGTTGATGGACTTGAAATGAATAGAGTAAATAATACTGAAATTGGCCCCGGATCGGATAATCAACAACAGCAACCGAGGCTTGCTGGAGAATCGCCCGATGCAGCTCAAGCATTAGCTGCTGAAGCTGCACAGCGACAAGCATTGCCACAACCAAATCAGTTCGGTAGGTCTGAATTTTTCAAAGTTCTAAAAGCTTAATTGATGTTGTAGAATAAATAAATGCTAAAAGATAAGAGGAGAGTGTAAGAAAGATAAACGCATTGTTTTTTTTTTTTTTTAGGGAAAACATTCATTTAACAAGTTGGATATAAAAAGCATAGAATAAAAAAAAGCCTAATAATAATATGTGTATATCCGAAATATTTCTATTGAAAGAAATTTGAATGAGGATGTGAAGTTTTTCTATACATTTCCTTTGCCATCAGATTTCTTTTCTGCTTAGGTGCTGTACGCGATAGGTTATTTCATGCAATGCTTGTACGTGTAGCAATTAGTTATAATCGGCATATTCCTATGTTGGGCAAACGTTTAATTGAATTTTCATCATTAGTAACGGTATGTTTCTTATTCGTTTTTTTTTTTTTTTAATTTGTACATCTTGTTTCCATATTCATTTCGATTTTTTTTCTACAACTGAAATCGTTGATACAAACAAATAAATGTTTACAATTACTGACCAATTGAAGCTGATGTTTGAAACTCATATATAATTAAGGATGATTGTTTTGAGTGAATTATCGCAAAATCGTGCATATATAAAGTTTTTAGCTTCCTAAAGGCTACTAAAATAAATCGCAAAAAAGTGAAAAGAAAATTCCAAAAACTACGAATTTTCAGGCAATAGTGTTGCTCTCTGTGATGGTTTATGTACATCATTTTTTTGATGAAACAGACAGCAATTGCTTAGCACCATTCGTGGACCAATGGCCCAGAAATGGTGTTTTGCGCGTAGAAGTTGTTAGAAATTTGAAAAAATTTAATGCTTATCAAGATAAATTATCAGGTAAGATTACAATTTTATTGTTTTTAGATACAAATGTTTTCAGTGAAACAATTTTTCAAGAATTTTCTATTTAAATCCTGGATATTATCGTTGACTAAAGTGAGCTAGTTGAGTGGTTTTCTCTTCCTTTATTGTTTTTCTCTTTATCTTTTTACTTCACATCTTTCTTTTTTAGAGAAGTTCTGAAAGGTACATAATTCATTTGAGGATTCATGGAACCAGAATCTTTATAAACTATTATTATATTCCAGTCAAATTGAGCTATTGATTTCAGAAAAATCTTATGGAAAAGGTAGTGGAAGTAATACAACAGTTTATGACTTAAAACGTGTATTGATGGAAGGCCCTAGCGCTTTACCGAAAGAATTACGAAGTAAACACAAGCATTATCTTCGGTTTGTTGATTTATGTTCATAAAGTATTAAGATTAAAAATTAATTAGCGTTTTTTTGTTTTTGTTGCAACAACTTGCTTAAAAATAATGTTTTTCAAATAATGATTTCTACTCTCTATTCATTGCTAGCGATAGTATAATTAATAGTTTCGGAATACTAGCTATAATCATTTCAGAAAGAGGAGCGATCATTGGAGCAGCTTTTTAATCTCAGAAGAATCATTGATGAGTCTTTTTATAAGAACGGACAATAATTTAAAAAAGAAGCTTTTTTTAGAGGAGTTAGACGACAATGAGCTTGATTTTGAAACGCAAGATTTAATTGGTATGTTTGTTGAAACTCTACTCGATTTTTTGCAGTCTAAATTTGTTTACTGGAACTCTACCATTGTTTTTTATTGGTCGTAGTCATATTTTTCTTTTGATGGTTCTTATATATCTGCACGAAAACTACTCTAAATTTGATTGTGGTTCACTTTAAATATCATACCTTCCGTTATAAATGATCATTACTATTTCACCATGCGATAAAATGCTTGAATCGAACGTTGTAAGAAATTATACATTTAATATATCAATATTTCAAAGCAGTTAAAGTTGCTAATTATTTAATCATGTATATTTCAGATGAGTCGGATGCAAGTTTCGAGTATGTTGTGGAATATTCTTTGTATTATGGTTTGCTAAAATTACCTCATTCGTATCGTCTTGAACACAACATCCCATTTCTCCTTGTTAGGGTATTGTTTTTTTCTTATTTCGCTAAATGGAAAAAAGAATTTTTGATTTGATATGCAGTTTGTTCTAAAACTGATATCGCGAAATTCAGTCCATTTAATTTGACTGGCATTGAATCATTTTCATTTTTTATGCTCTAGTTAATTAACTTTGCAATATTTTTGTATTTCAATTTCTGGCATCTTTGATTTAGTCTGTGTAGTATAGTTTTACGATTCATAAAATTTCCAGGCCAAATTTATTAGAATCACTGAAGAGAGTACAAACTTTGAATGCAGTACTCAGATTTCAATAGTATGTAGATTACAGAATTTAAATTATGGACAATCTTTCACGTTTTCTACACTAGCGATAATTTTTAGTTAGACCCTGAAATTGATAGCTGTTTTGGCGATTGGATCAGTCGTACGCTGATGAAGAATTTTATTGGTTATGAAGATGTGTTAATGTCTTCAGTGAAAACATTGGCTGAAAATGAAACAGATAAAGGTATATTGGTGTCATTTTTATTATTCCTTTATTTGTGATAACATGTGCTCATACTGTTATTAGATCGTTCCATTCCTTAATTGTCATTCCCTATGACTTTTCTTTTAGAGAAACACGTTGAAATTGAAGTATATTTTTTTAAATATACGTTTCGACAACATGAGAGCTTTTGAAAAGAGCAAAAAAAGACTATAAGAAGTAGGAAAATATTCTCATTTTTCATTTAGGATATTTGCGGGATATGATCACCGGGGAGCATTATCGATTTGTCACCATGGGTAATCCAAGAGCAAGTTATTTCACTGCTTTGATTGTTATGCTAATTTTTGTGAGTATTTCTTTTTTTTCTCTCGCAGCGTCAAATTTTACAATTAATTTCATATGAAATAGGTGCACGGTTGCAATTTGTAAGACATCTTTTAACATATAAATAGAAATAGTAGATTACCAATTAGGTTATACCGAATGAATAACTACTAAGAATATTATTGTTCCTGAAGGAAGTTATCTGTGACGAACTTGAACATGTAGTCACATCACCAGAGAAAGTATGATGTATGTAGTGATTAGACAAGTTCGATTTTTCTTGACGTTTTAAGTTAATGCAGCAATGAATAACATTCAGTAATGGTTATTGTCGAGTTTAAATAAAGTTGAAAATATTTCTCAATATGAAAATGGAATTGAAATTCAATTTCAGTATGAAATTCAAACTGGAAGTTTTATTTATTATATGCATCCTTAAAGAAATGCACTTTTTTGCAATTAAAGATATGCAAATATTGAATTGAAGTGCTTGCAGACGTTTGCGATATCGATGTTGTTGCGTTTTTCGCATCACCAAATATTCTTGTTTATTGTTGATTTATTGCAAATGTTTGAACTTAATCAAGCATTGGTTTTTCCGGCTGCGCCGCTTCTCACGGTTATTTTGGCTCTCGTAGGTAGGGTTTCTGGGATTTCTAGTATTTTAATCATTTATTTATAACTATCAATAGTACAATATTTGGCAATGTAAAACAATAGCATTATTTTGAGTACCAAGCCTTATCTTACGCCTGTTGAAAGTTAATTCGTAGATACTTTGTGCAGAGGGTTAACACAAATTTCTTTTGTGAAATCGATTGTTGCTGAATCTACGAGTAACTAGCTGAAGAGCATTGATGAGAAGAGCAAAGTCGTCAACGGCTTTAAACAATCTAAAATTAGGGACCGACAAGTTTCAAGTTTTAGTTGCTTAAGAAAGTACACAAAAAACTATTGCATATGAAATAGTTGTAAACGTTCTTTTTCAGGTATGGAAGCCATAATGTCAGAAGTATTCAATGATACCTCTACCGCATTTTATGTGATATTATTAGTTTGGATTGCAGATCAGTATGATGCCATTTGTTGCCATTCACCTATCAGCAAAAGACATTGGTTAAGGTAAACTTCCTTTGTTTTCAAGTGTTCATTGATCGATAGTTCAAATTAAATCATATTACTCTCTCTCAGTACTGATCACTGAATTTCGGATGTTTGTATAATGACAAGATACATTTAATCAGGATAAAATAGTTGAAATACTCTGTATTCTCTCTAAACAAGTTAATACAATGATAATGTAAGAATTATTATTGTATTAACTTGTTTAGAGAGAATACATAGCAGTACAGAGAAGTAGATAAACATTATAAATATCCTTCGGAACTCCGGAAAGTCCAAACATATTGAATTTGGCTGAAAAACAAAGCCGGGACTTCTATTAATCTTGATGATGTTATTCATTTAAAAATTCTTTTTTGTTCAAATTTTCCGGGTCTCAAACTCTTTATCTACAAACATTTTTATTCAAATTTTTTGAACTTCAGATTCTTCTATTTGTATCATTATGCATTTTATGCTTATCAATATCGATATAACGGTCAATATGGTGGTTTAGCCTTACTCACTTCTACATTCTTCATTTTGGTAATCACTTTTTTATTATCTCAGATTTTATTTGAAACAAATAAATATCCAGTGGAAAGTAATAATTTATCGCTGAAATCTTTGGAGACATTGGGGGCAGAAGTTTTTATCCTTTATTCTGCATGTAGCTTATCTTATGAAATCAACTAAATTCCACTAAAATTTAGCAATTAAAGTCACCTATAACTAAGATAAATAATGTGTTAGGAGATTTTTGTTATTCTCTTTTGTATTCCTTTTCTATATTTCAATAAATACACTCAACATTACATAAAGATGATTTATTGTATTTTGATGCAGCACTCAATGATCTTCTTCTTTCATCACTATGAGATGCCTTTAATTATTTATCATGATAGGCTGCAGAGAATTATCACTGATTTGCAACATAGTCCGGTTAGTTTATTCTATTTTGTTTTATTTCTGTCAAACGACCTGATTTCAAAATTTTTGAACATTTAATTTAGTCATAGTCAAAATAAAGTGAAGTAGTATTTATGATTATGCATCAACATTGTATAAGGTTTTTCCAAAATAAGAATTCAGATAAGATTATTGTAGAAATTTTAGAGTTATTTTAAATAGATTTTCGAATAGATTGATAAGAAACCTGAATCAAATTTTTTCTCAGTCATCCATGCAGTTTGACCTCTCGAGCCAGAGTTAAGCTTTTGAATTGTTAAATTTATGATTTTTTATAAGTTTTTTTTAGTTTCAGCAACCAGGTGAAGCAGTCGGTACTTCTCCAGGTGCACAAACTGCAACAAATGTTCCTACTACTACTGCATCAACATTACCATCAGTGAGGAATGCAGCTGTTGAGGTTTCAGCAGATATAAGTTTGCATAGCGAAGAAGTTTCATCATCTAGAGTTGGAACTACTACCCCAGATGGTACGTGTTCGTCCGAAGTGAAAGAGGTACCATTTTTATCGAGCAAACAACAAGCTACAGCTGAATTAGGTGAAGGCAGCAGCTCAATGACTGAAATCAATAATCTGGCTTTGAATGATCCTTTATTAATGGCTGGTGAACGTACAGCACATGAAATTGTTGACAGTGCTATTGATTGCGTATTTAATTCAACGGTAGTAACAAGAGAAGCGGATAATCTTCTTTAATGAGAATTACTCTTTTGATTTTTACGCTGTTAACTGTCAAGTAATTAATTCTTGAGGAATATTTAAAATAATATGATTTCAAAGATATTATAGGAACTGATAATATGATTACTGAGAAATTCTTTTATCAATTTGTGAAAATTGTAATCCATAATTATCTATGGTATTCTGCAATAGTCTCTGTATATTCTACTGCGTTGGTTAGGTTATTGAAGGTTTAAAACGCTTGTAAAAAACAAAAATATTAAAGCACTATTTCGTTACTTCTGTCAATTTGTAGAAATTGTAATTCATAATTATCCATGATATTCTCGAACTGTCTCTGTATTCTGCCACATTGGTTAGGCTATTGAAGGTTTAGAACGCTTGTAGCTAATTCACATGCAATTTCGACTTGTTGATCTGCTTAATACTTCCAGCAATATATTATATTCTGTTTTTTTTTTCTCTTCCTAACCATACACCTTCTGTGTTTCAATATCATATTCAAGATGAACTTTTTTCTGAGAAATCTCTTCATTGAAATTTGAAACTCACTTTGTATATCTGCTTCTATTTAATTTGCTTGCATTAGTTGCCAAGTATAATTGGCTTCACATTATTATTTTCTTTGTTCACCTTTCGGTATTGTATATAAAAATATAAAACGGTTCTTTTTTTTTAGTTGAACTATTTGTATAATATTTCATTGCTTTGCATCTTAGACCCTAGGCCTGTTTTGTTTAAATCATCTGTCAGTGATGTATTTTTATTTTTATTAGTGATGGGTATTTTATTCATGCGTAATTTACAATTGTATTATTTTGTAGTCAAAAAAGAAATGGTAGTTATATTCGAACTCATTTATTTCGCATGATTTTAACTTGTAGTGCACTGAAAGAAGAAAAGTGTGCTATAATTTTTTTGTCAGGTCTCAAAATTTTTTTAAATAGAACTTTGTGACTACGAGTACATGAATCACACTAGTTTTATTTGTATGATTTTCGGACTGTGATGTAATACTTGAATCAATAGCTTTCAAGTTAAAAGTTTTTTATTCAGTCTTTATAACTTCTTTTTTTTGGGCTTTGGTTATATCAACCTTTTCTCATGTATAAATGATATGTGACTGTGACGACTGGATAATATTCGATATGTAATGTTGAAAATTCTATTGCACGAAATAATTCATGTGGAAGCATTCTAACACCTGGGAAAATCTTTTTAAAAAAAATGCTTTTGAAAAAAATTTTATTCTTAAGTTATGGCAATGGTATAAGAAAGAGTTGTTATGTGGTGATTGAAAAAGATTACTTCAGTGATATGGATGAGTTGCTTTCGAAGTTTATGATGATTTTTTTGGCAAGTTTTTAAATTTTACTGAATTTATACGAATACATATTGTTTCATGCTGTATATTTTGTATCAATTTCATTTTGACTTACATTTGAGACGGAGTAAAATCTTCCTTGACCTTTTCGATTTGTACAATACTTTCATGCTGTTTTGGTATTCAATCATTCTTGAAACGTTTAGTTTTTTGAAGGGACGTTCACGGGCTTTAATGTTGTAAAATTATGCGAGAAAATTTTAAAAAATGATATGAAATGGTTAAAAAAAAAATAGAAATCAATCAGTAACTTGAAGAATCTTTCAGAGAAAAACTATCATTGATTGATATTCTCTTCAAAAATTTGCTTTTGTTTTCCAAATGCATCCAACTCCTCTATATTGCATCACAGATGAACAAAAGGACAGTGTCTATGAACCTGCCGAGGATACTTTTCTGTTATTGGATGCCTTGGAAAAGGATGCAGAGGTATAGAAAATGTTAGCTTCAAAAAAGCGGTCATTTTAAAGTTTTAATTCTTTAAACAAATTTTTTTAGGAAAAAAAGTTGCATGAAAGGGCATAGAATTGTTATGACCATTAAAAAATTAACACTTCGAAAGAGTTGCTCATGCTTTTTCAGGCTTTAGAACAGTTAAAACCTAATGTCGTTGTCGAAGTTGGAAGTGGTTCTGGTATTGTTTCGATATTTTGTCAGCAATTAATTCGTTTACCAGTGTTTAACTTAGCAACAGATATGAATTTTAACGCTTTACAGGTTTGAAATTGTTTTCTTAACATTAAAAGTTCAAAATTATGAAATTTGCAAAGAGCGGTCGAAACTTTAAAAATCGATTACTTTCGGATATTTTGATTTTTTCAACTAAAAGTAGTATGTCTGTCTTTGATTATAGCTACATCTTAATTTTTTTGAGCGGTGCCATCTATATTAACCTATAAAGGCAGGAAAAGGCTCAAAAAGATTAAAATGCAGCTGTAATCAGGATTGTTAATAAACTTGAATTTGGCTGCTTTTGATAGAATTTTTAAAATGTAAATCCTATGTGGACTGCTTTTTTTAATAATAAATTTTTAATTCATTGATTTGTTTTTAGTGCACTCAAACTACGGCACAGCTAAATAATGCGTCAGTAGAAGCAGTTCAGTGTGATTTGTTATCAGCGCTAAGTTATCGGTTATGTGGTCTCATTGACGTGTTACTCTTTAATCCACCATATGTACCTACCGAGCAAGAAGCTACTTCAGATTCTGCAAGCCTTTTTTCTCTTTTTTTTTGTATCATAAAAAATTGACATCGGCGTTTCCTGAATTAGTTTCAAAAAAAAAAAAATGCAGTTATTTAACTGTCCTAAGATTTGCTTAAGTTCGTTTTCTTGTCCAATTATTTCCCATATTCCCAATTTCCCTCCTCCCTATGAAAAGTTGAAAGATTTGAATGAAAGTGATAGGTCCTGTAATTCAAAAATCTTCAATTGCTCTAAAATTGTGCAATTTCTCTTGCAGGTTCGCTGCTGGGCTGGTGGTCCAACTGGCCGTGGTGCTGTTGATCGACTTTTTACTCAACTTCCAGAAATTTTAGCTCCTGGCGGTTTTTTTTATGTTGTTGCACTTCATTCGAATGATATTGTCAACATGTTAGCTCGTAACCAATCAACTTTTTCTAGCAAAATTTTACTTGAAAGGAAATGTGGCATTGAGCATCTGTTTGTGCTTAAATTTACAAAATTAAAATATTGAAAAGATGGAATAATTTTTATTTCAATGTTGAGTTAGTAATGGAAAAAGTTTTGATGATTTTTGCATGATTTTCATGATATCTAAAAACAGAAAACAATGATTAATGAGCGATAAATGTAGTTGGTGAAATTTTATTACTTATATACTTAACTATAACTCTATTATCAACATTAGTGTGTTTCTACATTCATTACTAAAGCTAAACGATCCATGATCGTTAATTTACTCATGTAATGGTGTATAAACAAATTGATTCCAAGAATCGCATAATGATATTTATAAGAAAGAGTTAAAAATTATTTGGAATATCTGAAAGTTATTGTATTGCTAAATATCCACGAATCTTGAGAGATGTTTGCCTGTCATATAATGTAATATTATTATTTATTTATGACTTATCACTCAAAGATCTAGCTTTGATGCTAGATTTTATGTGAAAGCAAAATGCTGGTGACTTTGAACTGTCACGGGGATAGAAGAAATGGTAAAAAAAAGGAAAGGAAATGAATTAGCATAGCTATTTTTCACTCCTTTCATATCTTTTTTTAATAACTTTTCAAAATTACTAATTTCTGCATTCAAATTATATTGAAATTCTTTTTTTTCAGCATTTTTTCACTTAAAAAGTGAGCAAAAAATTTTTTTTAAAGTAACATAAAAAATATGAACACTTAGAGTGTTGTCATTAAATGTTGCCTTAAATTACCAATTCATTTATGATTAATATCATGAGGTATACATTTTATGTTATGATTGGGAATCCTTCTTCTCTGTTTCTTATTATCATTATTTGTGCTATCTGGTTTTTTCCTGGTTTCTTTATTAAAAGAATATTGAGATTTCAAAATTCTGTTGGGATTCGAAAATAACATATTTCGACTTTATAATGAATTGAAATAAACTTTGCATGAGTCTGATTTTTTTTTTTTTACTTAATCGGGATTTCCTTGTCTCTCATAATGCGGAAAAGAATGAAAGAGAATATTAGATATGCATTAGCAAAATAATCCTCGCATTCAACAAAGCAGCAAGTTGGATTCTTCCAGTCAGCAATAATTCAAATTTCAAAATTTTATTGGCGGTGCGATTTAACAATTTCGGTGATGTTAAATTCGGAATTGAGGCAGTTTAAGTTTGGTTTGTTTTTCGTTATTTGCTTGTGATGCTTTCGTAAATTTTCACGGGTTTTAAATTCTTTTCAGAGATTATAAAAAATTGAAGATTCATTGAGAATTTCAGTGAATGGAATCCACGCCGAAACTCAGAGTAAATTCCTTTTCATGCTTTGTATTTTGATAGCTTGGAAATTTGTCATCTTTATCATATTTCATCCCAAATTTTGAAATTTGAATTTTACTTCTGTGTGAAATTAAAAGAGTGAAATAGTTGCTCAATTTTCAGATTCTTTGCCTTCACGGTTATCAACAAAATGCTTCAGTTTTCCGAAACAAATCGGGCAGTTTCCGACGTTATATGAAGAAATACGCTGATTTTGGTAAACTTTAAGTGTTTCCATTGTATTGAATATTTTTTTATTAATTCTGATTTTTAATATTTGTTGCAAACAATTATAGAAATATGGCAGTGTTTTTATTTGATGTTTGCTTTTTATGTTACATAATTCCTTTAACGTCTCAGTTAAATCAATCATGAGCTTTTAGAATATTGAATTTTGCCGATATGCAAGCTTGTTTTTTCTTTAGAGTATTCATCTTATTCCATAATTTCCGATAATATCCTGATCATCAACCTTTTTCTCTTTTTCAGTTTTTATGGATGCTCCTCATGAAGTTGAATGGGAACATGCTTCAGAAGGTGCAAGTGATACAGTTTCAAGTGAGACTGTCATTATTTTGATAGGAAAGATTTTCACCATGTCATGATGTACTTTTCAAGACGTAATTTTTATTTGTTATAGAATGTTTTCGTAATTGAATTTCTTGATTTTTTAGTTCCAGGAACAGTAAAGAATATGTGAAAAAACATTTTTTGTAAAATGATTGTATACTAATTTATTAGAACAGGATTAATTTATTCATTTAGAATATGATAAAACAAACTTTTGCTTATAGCAAATATAGCACCAGCAAAGTGTCGAGGATGGTGGTATGTCTCGGAACGTTTTCATATCAGGAAAGTGAAAGATCATGAAGGTTTCGAAGAATCTGTTCAAGCAATCGTCGACTTTGTGCAAAAAGAGGTATTTTTTTTGTTCTATTTTGAACAAACAGTAAATTTAAAGTTGGCGCAAGATTTCTGTTGTTTTTAACATTGAATAAAGTGTGAACTAGTTTTCAAAACTTTGGATGGAAACATTCTTAATATGAGGTCACATCAGCTCTTTTTTCTAAGCAAGCTAATGTGCTTCTGCTTACTTCAAATAAAATATCTCTTAATTAAAGAGGAAAAGGAAAGAAAAGTTTAGGGACCCTTTGATGGAATACTCGGTTTTAGTCAAGGTGCTACGTTGGCCTTCTTATTATCTGCTTTAAAGCGAAAAGGAGGTACATTTGTGCTTCTTTATTCATAATTTCATTTTTTATTAATTTTTTTAAGCTTGTTGAATTAAGCAGAAACATTTTTGACAACTGCAGATTATAAGTGAAAAAGGATTTTATAAAAAAATAATTTTGTTGAGGCTTGAATTTTAGAATTTTTTTCGGACTAAAAACTATGCTTTCTATTACTAGAGTTCAGTCCGCTGATCAGATTTCAGATTTGAATATCGATTTTAAATTTTTAATTTTGATATCCGGATTCTTGAGTAGAAATCCTGAACATCAAAAATTGAACGAAATGGCTCAATCCAATATTCCGTGTCTCCACGTGTACGGTAAAAACGATAAGGCTAGCATTTGTTTGTTTTTTTCTTCAAAAAGATGACTGTGCTGATTTTTTATGAAAATTTATGATAATTTTCTCATCTTTAAGTTTAACTTCAGATTTTATCTTACATTTTAAAATTTCTATTTAAACTGCGTGCCTTGAGTTCTACTTTTCTCGTTTTCAATAGCTGGTATTTTTTCAAATTCAAGAGTAGATATTTCTCAATGTTGAATGATGAGAAGGAAAATTTTTCGGTTGATTTATAACTGTATTATAAATCAATCAAAAAATTTGTCTTTTCATTGGTTAAAAACGTTGCTATCTTTTGATAAAAATGGTAGGGTTAAAGGTGCTAGATTCTGTTTCTCGTTTGAGTGCCCACTTACATAATGGATTTTTTATATCGATATCAAACTAAACTGTTTGATTTTTTCAAAATAGTTAATTGTAGTTTTGAAAACTATCGTCGATTTTATTTTGTAGGTTGTTTCTCGTGAATTAAGTGCAAAACTTGTGGAACTTTTTGACAAAGATATGGTTGTTGTGTTCGAGCATCCAGGTGGTCATATGACGCCTAACATGCTCAAACATAAGGTGATAATTGATAAATTCTTCGAAATTGTTAAAAATGTTCTCAACACTTGAAATAATTTTTTGACATTAATTTGTTACTGTATCATCTCGTATAAAAATTCAAAATTAACAGTAGAGTATTGCGATCAGTACATGAAAATATAGCATTGTGGATCGTAATTAAGTTACCAAAGTTTTTATTGGCTATAAAAATAAAATTGGGACGATGTAAAAGCATGATACTATGCTCTTTAACCGACTTACAGCTTTAAGCATGGTAAAATACTGAACGAAATAATTATAAAATACTATTTTGATTTGGATATGTAAAATATATGCAGACTTGAAGCATTCAATTATTTCAATAAGACATCGGGTATATTGTAATAAATATATTAATAACAGATTGAAAAGTATTCCATTTAGGTTGCGGTGTTCAATGATTTAATGGTGTCAGTAGTGATATGAAAAGATTATTGACCCTTTGTGCTGTAAAACAGTTTAACAGATCCTTCTTGGATAAATATTAGTATTTTTGAAGAAAGAACATATTTTTCGAAGAAAAATGAGTAAAATTCTAAAAAACCTATGAAAACTTCATATCTTCTTGCTCTTGTTTCCTTCCTCTAAATTCCTCCTCTATAATTTACTTAATTATGATTTGAAAAGCTGTGACATTACATGATTAGTCTTTTTCACTCTAATTATTGATTTTAGATTTTACTATTTGCAGTTGTTTTGCTTCATATTGCTTAGATCTAAAACCAGAAAATACACGTGGAACAATCTTTTCCAGCTGATGTTCGAATATTATAAAGACAATTGGAAGAGATGTGATGAAATTTGATAGTACTTTTTTCGCACAATACTCAAAATCAAAAGATATTTTTGGTTCTTATGTTTCATTACTAATAATAGTAATAATAGTCGTAATAATCATATATGTAAATGCTATCAAACATTTTTTGTGATTTTTCGGACTTCTCAGTATTCTGTGATTTTGAGGCCACTCGTGGAAGATTCTGTCTGTAGCGTCGCTGTCGTTGTTTGTAGTTTTTCCGATTATAACCTTTACTAATTTTTCTTCTTTTTGATGCTCTTGTAGTACCTGTAGATTCAAAAAGTATAAGAAACAAATATGGTGGAAATATTGGTAATAAACTATTATAAGTAAAAATTTTGAAACTGGATGCCTATTTTGTAAGATTTACAAAGGACTTTTGGAAAATTTTCTCTTCTATAGAATATGTAAGGATGATATTTTGTAACTTTACTAAAGTAATAGTTGTAGATCATTCTCTTTTAAAAAAGTGGAAAATGATGAATAATTATAAAATCAAAAAATGAATCATTCTCCACATCTCTACAATCAAATATTATGAAACCTACCGTGTGATGCGTCCATATTTTTAATAATTTTAGTATTGTTTGTTTTGCTATCCATTTCATTATCAAATTCTCCACTACCCTCGATCACAACATAATCATCACTATCTCTGATATCATTCAGATCAGTCGAATTTACATTGTTCGATTTTTTTAATGGAAATCGCATTCCTCTAATACTGTCCCAAGCATTTACCGCTTCTTTCCTTTGTTCTTGTGAATCATCAAATTGCTTATCATCTCCTTTAATATTTTCCCAAGCTACTATTGCTTCATCTGCTTCATTTTGTGAATCGTTGTTAAATTTTGATCTATCATTTTGAATTTCTCCCACTACCAAGCATTTTTCGTTTATAAATTTAAATGGTTCACAACATGGTTCTTCTTCATTCATACATGGTTTTGTGTTACAGTGGCGAACATGTACAATATGCATACCATTTCTAAAAGGTAAAATAATGAAATATTAAATTTTCAATTTTTTTCTAACGTTAAAATTTCTTGCAGAATAAGTGATGATATTATAAATAGAAATTTATAAATATCCTTATCAGAAAGTTTTCAAATCTTATCAAAAAATTAATTACAAATTTATAGAATATAAGGCATACAATAGCATTAATGTACGATTCTGCATACCACATCCACCACACGATTCCGTACATTCACTCCATTCATTCCAATTATCTAAGATTAATGCCATTTAAAGTAATAAATATTAAAATAAAATCATTTCTTTTTTAATGTCTCTTTAATATTGGTACTTGAAAAGATTCCGAATTTCAGCATTTTACTCTAAAATACGACAAGTAAGAATCATTACATACTCGCAAAATTTTTACTTGCAATGAAAAATTCACATGGAATTCTAACTTACGATTTGTTAAATCAATTGCTGATTTGTTTGTAGTGGAATTAGCTTTTTCATCCTAAAACAAAAATATTGTTTTAAAAAAATAATAATAATTTCCAAAGTAAATATATTTATTTACGTGTTTATTCATTTTAATTTATTTTGGAGTGTTAGAAAAATGTGTCATTTCTATTTTATAATATTTTTGCAACAATTACTAAGAACTGTATTTTTACTTTGTATAATACATAGTTCATTTAATTAATAAATAATAAATAAGAACACATGCAAATAAAGAAAAATATTTCCTTCTTAAATTCCTTTAAAGAATTCAATTTCAATTCAAATTTAAAGAATGAAATTATTACTTGAGAAGTAGCTTCTTGTATTAGAAAAAACAAAATGGGATACCAAATGATGAACATTTAGAATGATAGGGATGCAACTTTATAATGAATGGATTGGTTACTATATATTATTTGATATACAGAACGATTACCATCGATGACCTTGGACCTATTCTATTTTCAAATATTATCAGTGCATTATCACTGATCTCGTAGAAATCTATTACATATTTCAAAGAGGGATCAGTTATACATTTTTCATTATGAATATTGCACAAATTTTTACTAGTGTTTTTTTTTAGTTTCCTTTTTTGAACTTTAACACATGCAAATTATTTTCAAAATTTTTGTTAATTTAAAATTTGGAAGATATATGCAATCATATATTTTTGAATAACTCATTAAACTGAGTTAACACCAAAGAAAAAAATACTGAAAGTCTGGATTGGGATATATTAGAATTGAAATATGCTATAGTATGCTATAATATTTGAATATACCATAATTGAAATACAGTATAATATTGTACTTTAATCAATTGACAGTTAAAATAGAAGTAGAAAAAATGGCCAATTTATAAATTATTTGAAATGAACATTTGAAAATGAGAATTTATGGTACAAATTTTCCTGATCATTTAGAAAACATTTTAAAATTAAGCAATCTTTAAAAGTTTGGAAATCATTCGTACTTGAAGTTTGACCTAAGCAGAAAATTGTTGTTTTTCAAGCAATATTCTAATTAATTGAATTTGTTTCAAATCAAAGTGTTGATTCCATGAAAAAGTAAATTTTTCTTATTGTTTTTAGGAAAATTATAGCTTCAAATTTACAAAAAAAAGGAATAAAATTTTTTTA